TTTACCACCTCACTGAACCTACCAAACCATGCTCGGGGAGACTGTTTAAGCCCATATATAGCCTTCCTTAGTCTGCACACCTTATCATCCTCCCCCTGAGCAACAAACCCTGGAGGTTGCTCCATGTAGACCTCCTCGAGTAAGTCACCTTGCAAAAAGGCATTCTTGATATCAAACTGATATAGTGGCCACTCATACATGGCTGCAAGAGAGATCACAACACGAACTGACCCTATCTTAGCAACTGGTGAGAAGGTCTCTGTGTAGTCAATACCATAGGTTTGGGAGTACCCTTTTGCAACCAATCGCGCTTTCAGGAGTTCAACACTACCATCAGGCAGATACTTAACCGTATAAACCCATTTACAACCGACAACTTGCTTCCCAGGAGGAAGAGCAGCGAGGTTCCAAGTATGATTATGATGAAGGGCAGAGAGTTCTTCTTCCATGGCTCGACACCACCCTGGAGAGGCAAGGGCTTCCTGGACATCCTAGGGACAACAACTGATGATAACAAGGTGACAAACTGGCGATGGTAAGTGGAAAGGTGAGTAAGTGAAACATAATTAGAAATATGATGAAGGGTGCAAGTGCGTTTACCTTTCTGCAAAGCAATGGGGAGGTCAAGCTCAGATGTTGAGTGCGGGTCTGGTGCCGGATCCGTCGACGAGATGTAGTCGGAGTAGTAGCTGGTACACGTGGGCGATGTGTATACACATGACGGATAGGTGGGCATTCAACAGGTGGTGGCACCGGAGGCAAGGATTTGGTCACGGCTGGAACCAAGGGAAGAGGGTCGACAACGGGTAGTGGAAGAGGAGGAGGTGATGAGGAGGAAGAAGCATCACCGGACCCCAAAAAGAACGGAGTAGACTCAAAGAAGGTGACATCAACACACACAAAGGACCGTCGAGAACTAGGATGGTAATACCTATACCCTTTATGGGTTCGAGAATAGCCAAGGAAGATGCACTTAAGAGAACGGGCATCGAACTTGTCATTCCCGGGACCCAGATTATGGATGAAGCAAACACACCCAAATACCCTTGGCGTAAGAGGAAACGGAGACAAAGCGGGAAACAAGACCTGAAACGGAGAATGACCATCAAGGATGAACGTGGGCATCCGATTAATCAGAAAGCATGAGGTAAGCACTGCATCACTCCAAAAGGGTTTGGGAACATGCAAGTGATGCATGAAGAATCTTGCTGTTTCCAGGAGATGGCGATTCTTTCTCTTAGCCACCCCGTTTTGTTGTGGGGTGTAGGTACATGAGGTCTGATGTATAATGCCGTGTTGGTCCAGGTATTTCTGAAATGATGAGGATAAATATTCGCGACCATTATCAGAACGGAAAACTTTGATGTGGGTATTAAATTGGTTACGAATCTCAGCATAAAATTTCTGAAAAATGGTAAACAATTCACTTCTTTCTTTCATTAGATAGAGCCACRTCATCYTTGAAAAATCATCTWCAAAAATGACAAAATATCTGTATCCATTATATGACATCACYTTATAAGGACCCCAAACATCTGAATGAATTAAAGAAAAAGGACTCGACACAC